AAAATAGCACCCAGTAGCAACATCGTCAGCAGATGCAATCACCACAAAATTTAGCATTGTGGAGCTTGTGCTTCAGCTTCATTATACACCTTCACCGTGAAGATTGAGATAAGGAACTGAGTTGGTGTCCTTCTGACTAGAGAAGTCAAAATTTCACTGTAGACACTGAAAATTTTTTTAAACACTCGTGGTTATTACAATGTCTCATGAACTACGAAAGTGAAATTTTAGTCCAGTAGGTTCTGCCATTGTCTGTAAAGAGTTTAAAGGTTGGAAGATAACATTCCTCTGATGACTTGGCCTACCCAGTGTGTGACAGTTGAATTGTTTGAATGCCGTGCCTATTAATTGTGTTTTCAACCATGAATAATGCAGTATTTCTTAATACATTTAGTCGATACAGTGTCTGGTGAATATATTTTTAACATACTGGCTGTTTCCCACTGAAGTTGGGTAATACACACGAAAGAGGAAACATTTTCAGTCAATCTCTGTCTTGGCAGATGCATACCAACATCACAGTTTGGATTTCCCTCTTGAGCTGCATTATCTTCACCCCTCTAGAGTGCAGGCATTGTATGCCCTACCTCCAGGACTCAAGTCTGGCTTTCCAGTTTCCCTGAATCCCTTCATAAAAGTTATCCTGCTAACACTCCAACAGCACATTCACTTAAAAAACTTGTCTCCATTCACTATATGGAGGAGGATTGGGGGGGGGGTAGAAGCAAATATTAGTTAGGAGTAGGCATGATATATTCCAACTAGGCCCTCAGGGTTGCTGATGCAGAAATTCATTTTCTTGTAGCTGTAGTTCCTTTGACTCATAACCAAAGTTCAAGCCTGGGTGCAGGTACAGATAATGGGAATGTTGCCTTACACTTGATGCCCCTGTACCAAGCAATAATTAGTAACTTGGGTGTTGGCTGACTGCTGTTGGTTTCATCCTGGTGAGGGAAAGGTGAGGTAGCATGCTTTATTTAGGGCTGGGTTTTAGAATGACCTAAGCTAGGATAGCAGCTCTTAGCAGCCTATAAGTTCAACCGTGCTTAGGATTTTTTCTTTTTCTTTAGATCTAAAGGGAATGTGTTGAAATTAACAGTTATATAAAGGGAAGGGGGACAAAAGAGATTGTAGAAATTATAGAGGAGTAAGTTTACTGAGTATACCAGGAAAAGTGTACAGTAGGGTTATAATTGAAAGAATTAGAGGTAAGACAGAATGTAGGATTGCAGATGAGCAAGGAAGTTTTGGAGTGGGTAGGGGATGTGTAGATCAGGTATTTACATTGAAGCATATATGTGAACAGTATTTAGATAAAGGTAAGGAAGTTTTTATTGCATTTATGGATTTAGAAAAGGCATATGATAGAGTGGATAGGGGAGCAATGTGGCAGATGTTGCAAGTATATGGAATAGGTGGTAAGTTACTAAATGCTGTAAAGAGTTTTTATGAGGATAGTGAGGCTCATGTTAGGGTGTGTAGAAGAGAGGGGGACCACTTCCCGGTAAAAGTAGGTCTTAGACAGGGATGTGTTATGTCACCATTGTTGTTTAATATATTTATAGATGGGGTTGTAAAAGAAGTAAATGCTAGGGTGTTCGGGAGAGGGGTGGGATTAAATTATGGGAAATCAAATACAAAATGGGAATTGACACAGTTACTTTTTGCCGGTGATACTGTGCTTACGGGTGATTCTAAAGAAAAATTGCAAAGGTTAGTGGACGAGTTTGGGAGAGTGTGTAAAGGTAGAAAGTTGAAAGTGAACATAGAAAAGAGTAACGTGATGAGGGTATAAAATGATTAAGATTAAGGAAAATTGGATATCAAATTGGGGAGGAGGAGTATTGAAGAAGTGAATGTTTTCAGATATGTATTTGGGGTAGTAGGTTGGTAGACAGCAACCACCCAGGGAAGTACTACCGTCCTGCCAAATGACTGTGAAACAAAAACCTGTAACTGTTTTGCATGATGGTAGGATTGCTGGTTTCTTTTTCTGTCTCATAAACACGCTAGATAACAGGGATATCTTGCTTCTCCTACTTACACTTTGGTCACACTTCACAGACACGCACATGCATATATATATACATACATCTAGGTTTTTCTCCTTTTTCTAAATAGCTCTTGTTCTTTTTTATTTCTTCTATTGTCCATGGGGAAGTGGAAAAGAATCTTTCCTCCGTAAGCCATGCGTGTCGTATGAGGCGACTAAAATGCCGGGAGCAATGGGCTAGTAACCCCTTCTCCTGTATACATTTACTAAAAAAGAGAAGAAGAAAAACTTTATAAAACTGGGATGCTTAAATGTGCGTGGATGTAGTGCGGATGACAAGAAACAGATGATTGCTGATGTTATGAATGAAAAGAAGTTGGATGTCCTGGCTCTAAGAGAAACAAAGCTGAAGGGGGTAGGAGAGTTTCAGTGGGGGGAAATAAATGGGATTAAATCTGGAGTATCTGAGAGAGTTAGAGCAAAGGAAGGTGTAGCAGTAATGTTAAATGATCAGTTATGGAAGGAGAAAAGAGAATATGAATGTGTAAATTCAAGAATTATGTGGATTAAAGTAAAGGTTGGATGCGAGAAGTGGGTCATAATAAGCGTGTATGCACCTGGAGAAGAGAGGAATGCAGAGGAGAGAGAGAGATTTTGGGAGATGTTAAGTGAATGTATAGGAGCCTTTGAACCAAGTGAGAGAGTAATTGTGGTAGGGGACCTGAATGCTAAAGTAGGAGAAACTTTTAGAGAGGGTGTGGTAGGTAAGTTTGGGGTGCCAGGTGTAAATGATAATGGGAGCCCTTTGATTGAACTTTGTATAGAAAGGGGTTTAGTTATAGGTAATACATATTTTAAGAAAAAGAGGATAAATAAGTATACACGATATGATGTAGGGCGAAATGACAGTAGTTTGTTGGATTATGTATTGGTAGATAAAAGACTGTTGAGTAGACTTCAGGATGTACATGTTTATAGAGGGGCCACAGATATATCAGATCACTTTCTAGTTGTAGCTACACTGAGAGTAAAAGGTAGATGGGATACAAGGAGAATAGAAGCATCAGGGAAGATGGTTGCTCCCTGCTCCGGGGGGTGGCATGGGCCTGCTTCGCATGGGCCAGTAGACCTGTTGCAGTGTTCCTTCTTTCTTATGTTGTAAATGCTGCAGCAAGGAGATGGTTGGAGGCAGTGGAGATGTCCTGTCTAAGGGCAATGTGTGGTGTAAATACTATGCAGAAAATTCGGAGTGTGGACATTAGGAGAAGGTGTGGAGTTAATAAAAGTATTAGTCAGAAGGCTGAAGAGGGGTTGTTGAGGTGGTTTGGTCATTTAGAGAGAATGGATCAAAGTAGAATGACATGGAGAATGTATAAATCTGTAGGGGAAGGAAGGCGGGGTAGGGGTCATCCTCGAAAAGGTTGGAGGGAGGGGGTAAAGGAGGTTTTGTGGGTGAGGGGCTTGGACTTCCAGCAAGTGTGCATGAGCGTGTTCGATAGGAGTGAATGGAGACGAATGGTATTTGGGACCTGACGAGCTGTTGGAGTGTGAACAGGGTAATATTTAGTGAAGGGATTCAGGGAAACTGGTTATTTTTATATAGCTGGACTTCGGTCCTGGAAATGGGAAGTACAATACCTGCACTTTAACCCTTTCAGGGTCGAGAGGCCCTCTCCTAAACTTGTTCTCAGGGTTGAAAATTTTTCAGAAAAACAAATTATTTTTTCTTATGAAATGATAGAGAATATTTTCCCGATCATAATGACACCAAAAGTATGAAATTTGATGGAAAACTTACAGAATTATGCTCTCGCAAAGTTAGCGGTCTCAACGATGTTTACGCATCAGTGATTTCGCCCACTTTGAGCCCTATTTTCCACCAATTCCAATGCACCAGTTGATAAAAATCATAAGCATTTCACTAGAACTCCATTTTTTCTATCAAATAAATACAAGAAACCAACAATTTACCAATTTCAACTATCCAGTAAAGTGGTCAGAAATTGGCAATTTTGCCAATTTCACACAAATTTCAAAAGATACCAATTTCCAAATAGGGTCCAGAATAAACAAGAAAGACATTCCTGGCACTAAAATAACATTTTCTCTGTTCATTAGTCACATCCCCATGCCCCTCTTACATTTCTTTTGCTTTCCACTTTGAATTTTTATTCTCACAAAAAAAAATAGAAGATTTACTGTTATGCAGACTACTGCATTAGTGTAGAAATGGTATAAATAATATCAGCGCACTTGTGAAAGAATATTAGACTCACCAGTTGACGTGTATTGGACACATGGCATGATTTGTTTACTTTTGAACTTTCGCAAAAATCGAACATTTCTGCTACTCAAGATACTTTTCATTGTGAAACCAGTCAAATTCATCTCAATTTCTATTCTATTGTCTTCCATTCTATAAAATGAGACCAGGAAAACTAGAATACAATCATAAATACCATACGAAAATACATTGCAAAATTGCTGTTTTAAAGCAAAAACACGGTCAGAGTTTTTTCTTTTTCTTGCTATGCACTATGTGCCGCAGGATTTTTTTTTATACTGTGCACACTGACCACATAGACCCATTCTTTCATATGTAGGCCTACCAGCTTTCTCTCGCTAGATTTGAAGGCTCTAGAATTTATGCGTACTAGTACGGCACCATCCCTGAAGTGCAAGCTGTACTAGTCCAGCACCGACCCTGAAAGGATTAAAGGAGGGATTTGGGATATTGGCAGTTTGGAATGATATGTTGTGTATCTTTATATGTATATGCTTCTAAACTGTTGTATTCTGAGCACCTCTACAAAAACAGTGATTATGTTTGAGTGAGGTGAAAGTGTTGAATGATGATGAAAGTATTTTCTTTTTGGGGATTTTCTTTCTTTTTGAGTGACCCTGCTTTGGTGGGAGACTGCCGACTTGTAAAAAAAAAAAAAAATTTGTAAATCCAAAAATTATTGAAATTACAAAAACCATTGTTAATTATAAATGTTTTACTCAGAATTGGAACAGGGGAATCATCCGAGATTTTGAACACTCGTACCAAAGGCAAGAAACCAGAGGTTCCTGAAGTGCATCGCTTTGTTGAGGTTTCCTCTTCCTCAATCACTCTTCATCTTAATGCTTGGCTGGATGGTGGCTGCCCCATGAACTACTTTGTGGTCGAGTATAAGGCAAGGTGAGTTAATAAATAAATCTTCACACATTATTTGTTAATTTCGTTAGTTTACAATCTTGTGTAATTAAAGAAATTTTTATCTGATAAATTAGCACTTATTTTACAGTAATTGAAAGTTATGTTCAAGTCTTTGAATTTGTGCTTAGAATTTTTTGTTTGGCCATCCACAATACAGTGGATGGAGTGATTCACAGCCAAGAGGCAAACTGTCACATTTCATAAACAATTGATTTAGTTGTGAATAATTAGCTGTCTAATAACCATGAGAAGCTTTCTTTATCTTAACATTAATTAACGCATCAGCCATTTCCCACCGAGGCAGGGTGACCCAAAAAAGAAGAAACACTTTCATCATTCACTCCATCACTGCCTTGCCAGAGGCACACCTACATTAGTTATAAAACTGCAACTTACCAACACCTCTCCTTCTGAGTGCAGGCACTGTACTTCCCGCCTCCAGAACTCAAGTCTGGCCTGCCTGTTTCCCTGAATCACTTCTGTAAAAACTTGCATTTGTGGTCACAGTGGTGCCTATGCTAACCTTCCTATGGTATAGAAATATACCTAGTTGGATGAATCTTACTGTGGCTAGCTGGCCCAGTGGCTAACGCGACGGTCTGGAGTTTTGAGACTTCCTAATCACGTGTTCTATCCCCGCCCATGGTATGGTTTGTTTGCAGTCGTGTCATTAAGATTTCGTGAGTCATGTTGACGGCTTTGAGGGGACTTGAACTAGAGTTCGTCACAGCCACGCTAACTGGAGATTCGTCTGTAAAAACTTGCATTTGTGGTCACAGTGGTGCCTATGCTAACTTTCCTATGGTGTAGAAATATACCTAGTTGGATGAATCTTATTGTGGCGAGCTGGCCCAGTGGCAAACGCGACAGTCTGGAGTTTTGAGACTCTGATCGCGGGTTCTCTCCCCGCCCGTGATATGGTTTGTTTGCAATCTTGTCATTACGATTTCGTGAGTCATGTTGTCTGCCAAACACTTTACCAGGTATACTCGACAGGCTTATTTCCCTATAATTTTTACACTCGCATTTGCCCCCTTTACCTTTATACAAAGAAGCTATGCATGCTCTTTGCCAATCCCTAGGTATCTTCCCCTCATTAATACATTTAATAAAAGCGCCAACCATTCCAAAACTATCCCCACACGCTTTTAACATTTGTCTTTATTCCACCAATCCCAGCTGCTTTACTCCCTTTCATTCTACCCACTGCCTTGCACACCTCCCACACACTCACAACTGGCTCTTCCTCACTCTTACAATATGTTATACCTCCCTGCCCAATATATGAAATCACAGCTTCCCAATCTTCATCAACATTTCATAGCTCCTTAAAATATTCCCTCCATCTTCCTAATACTTCCAACTCTACATCTAATAACTCTCTTGTCCTATTTTTAATAGTCAAATCCATTCATTCTCTTGATTTTCTTGGTTTTCTTAATTTATTAATCTCACTCCAAAACTTTTTCTTATTCCCAGCAAAATTTGTTGATGGTATCTCACCCACTCTCTCATTTGCTCTCTTAACCTCTCTTTTTCTCTCCATATACTCCTCCCTTCCTGCATCACTTCTGGTTTGTAGAAACCTCTCATATGCTAACCTTTTCTCTCTTACTACTCTGTCTACATCATTCAACCAGTTGATCTTCACTCCCTTACCCACTTTACTGTAACCACACACTTTCGTTGGACAGTAACGGTACATTCTTAAATCTATCCCATACCTCTTCATCTTTCTTCTAATAGTTGTTTATATCTTCCCCTAACTGCTTCCTCCTCTTTTAGTTTAAAAACGTTCACCTTTCTCTCTTACTGACTGATGCCATTCTCCTTGTTTCCCATCTACCTTTCACTCTCAGTGTAGCTACAACTAAAAAATGATCTGATACATCTATGGCCCCCTCTATAAACATGCACATCCTGAAGTCTACCCATCAGTCTTTTATCTACCAATACATAGTCTAACAAACTACTGTCATTATGCACTATATCATATCTTGTGTACTTATTTATCCTTTTTTTCTTTTTGTAAAATATGTATTACTTTTTACCAAACCCCTTCTATACAAAGTTCAATCAAAGCCCTCTCATTGTCATTTACACCTGGCTCTCTAAATGTACCTATCACACTCTTTATAACCATTTCACCCACTTTAGCATTCATATCCCCCACAACATTTATTCTCTCACTTGATCCAAACACTCGTTTGACATGACCCAAAACCTCTCCTCTACACTCCTCTCTTCTCCAGGTGCATAAACACTTATTATAACCCACTTTTAGCATACAACCCTTATTTTAATCCACATAATTCTTGAATTTATGCATGTACCCTCTTCTCCTGCCAAAATTCATTCTTCAACATTATTGCTACCCCTTCCTTAGCTCTTAACTCTCTCAGATACCCCTGACCCAATACCATTTATTTCTACCCACTGAAACTCCCTACCCCCTTCAGCAGTAGCCTACATAACAGCAACACTCCCAGGCTCATGCAACACAAGTCTTTTGAGAATGAGTGAAAGCATATGAAAGGAGTGTTTTTTCTACAGTTACTCCCGTAATATACACATTTTCTTTGATATTTTATTAGAGAGAACGTCTCTCTGTAATTCTTGCCATACACTCCTACAGGCTGCCCTACTACCACACCTCACAATTAGATCATTTTGCTCTAGTATGGGTGTATGTATTATGGTTATATGATATGTAGCATGTTTCTTATATAAATTTGTAAAACATATTGTAGATGGATTAACAAAAATGTCTATAATAATGTAATATACAACATTTAAAGTGCCCCAAAGTAATTATTATTATTTTACTGTATTAACACTAGTGAGACACACACTTAGCTACTGCTTTGTAATGATGCCAAGTAGTGATTTTAATGTACATGCATGTTAGCACAGTAAGTTAATTTATTACTGATAACTGTACTTAAGTGTACCTGTATTTAGGTACAGGTTCAAGTAAGTACAGTTATCAGTACTGTCCCAGTACTAGGCCATGGACATACCTTACTCACTAAGTTTAATCATTTCTTACTTTCCACTTAAAGTAATAGTCTTACGATTCCTCTTTTTATCATTACTCTTAGATGCCATTGTAATAGAAAAAGACTATATATAAAATACATTGTAAATTTAAAACACTTGAAATTTTGGAAAGATTCAAGAGAGATGCAGAGTTCATGGAGGATGTAAACAAACTCAGAAAAAGAAAATGAAATACGAATGCCCAGCCAGCCAGGAGCTCACACCATAATAGCCAATCAGGAGCCATATAAACAAGTTTTTGGGTATAATTTGAAACGTCTGTTTTAGCTAAGTGCTGAGAAGTGAAGTGCCGCAAACAGAGGCCCTCCTGTACCTGTAAATGTACGAATATTTTGTGAACTTTATTTTTAAATTAATGGATAATTTAGTCAATATTAATATTTTTATTGATTCATTGCTTAGAGATGAGAACTGATTTTATCATCAGGCATCAAGCTGAATGGACAATGGCCAGCAACCAGGTGAAGCCAACTGGCAACTATGTGATTATGGAGCTGACACCAGCAACTTGGTACAACTTGCGCATATCTGCCCATAACAATGCTGGTTCCTCTGTGGCTGAATATGAATGTGCTACTCTTACACTCACTGGTGGTAAGTTTATTCCTACTCTCCTTTTTCCTTTAAAATAATAAAAGGGAAAAATAATAGTCTGCCTTACAATTCCTGTTAAAGTTTAAAGTTAATTTGGAAAGATATCATGGGAAAGAACAAAAAGGCACAATACCATGACTAGAACAATACACAAATAACCTGCACATAGGAGACAAACTTACGACGACATTTCAGTCGTACTTGGACCAGTTACAAGTCAGAATGGAACATCGTAAGCTTCTCGCTCATATGTGCAGGCTATTGTGCATATATCATGGAAGCTTTGGGTGTATTCTTTTATAACTGTGATCCCAAAATTTTTGTAGCTTTCACAATTACATTATTGTTTATGCAGTATATGTATTAAAAATTTTCTTAATTATATTTCAAGAGGAATACAGTCTCAAATTTAATCTTTGTTTTATTGTTTAGAAAGTATTGATTAAGATAGCATTTTCTTGGATATTAAAGCACTTCAGTAAATATCATATATATATATATATATTGGAGCAGTGTTAGGTATGAAATCTGATCTGTGGCAATATTTGACCAGCTTATTTCTCTCTCATTGTATTAAATTTTTCTGAAAGTTTAAACTTTTTTTTTGTTGGGGGGAGGGGGAATATCAGCTTTTGTTAATGAAATTCATAATTCAAAGTTTTGTAACTATTATTTATTGTGTTTTACTCTATTGTCTGCTGAAAGTTCCTTTTTTAATGCTTTCATGTTAATGCAATTATTTATTTATTCTTACTTTTATGACGTAAGAGATGCATGTAAGATATTAGACAGCAATTAGAAGTTTCATTGATATACACATGAAGTTGGACAGATCTTTTAGCCCCCCCCTCGCCATCAACAGTGAGTATCCCCCACATTAATGTGCTTGGAGTGCCTAGTTCTCTTGTCACTGTGTAGAATGCTGAGGGCTTGAAATCAATAATATATACATTTCTGTATAACATGAATCTTTTTTTTTTTTTTTTTATGGTTCCTATGGAGCTCATTAAAAATACTACCAAGTATCAATTATATCTATCAGTAGATATTTCAAGAAATCAAATTTGATAAGAAAATAAAGTTAAATGTTTATTTTAAGAACCATATACAGGTGTCCCATGTTTTATGTTAAAGATGCATTCCAGGCCCTTGGCAGCTGTACTGTACTAAGCTAAATCAGCCCATAAACACTTAATTCTACAGAATGGAATTTTTCCATACTAATCATATTGATTGGATACGGTGACCATATATTGAATATATAGTTTTTTTCTTTACATCATTTGCAGTCTTCCACCAAAGTAGGGTGACCTAAAAATGGGAAAAATATTCATCATCATTATTCATTGTCTTGCCAAGAGTGTGATGTCATCACACTTTACATTATTCCTTGACTGCAACATCTCTACCTCTTCTATGGAGTGCAGGCACTGCACTTATCGCTTCCAGGACCCAAGAGTCCAGTTAACTGGTTTTGCTGAGTCCCTTCATAAATGTTACCTTGCTCACACTCCAACAGTATGTAAAGCATAAACCCACTTGTATCTGATCACTTTGCGCATGCTTACACAAGCCTGCTAGACGCTATCTCCTTCCAACCATTCCTGGGACTACCCCTTCCTTTCATCCCAGATTTATACACCCTCTGCATCCTGCCTCAGATGGATGAAAAGTGGAACATCCAAAGCAAACCAAATGTTCAGAGTGAACTGGACAATTTGGTGCTGTGATTAAAGACATGGAAGATAAGAACATAAGTTTCAATGTAGACAAGTGCAAAATAGTGTGTTTTCAGAATAACATTATCCAACATGAATACAAAATGTTTGGCAGCAAACAGAAACAAGAAAAGCAAAAGGCCTTGGAGTAATTATGAGCAACTATCTCAAAAGTACTATGCAGTGCCTATCTGCAAGGCTAACAGAATGCCAGTTTTCATAACCGGAAACTTTGAGCACAAAACACTAGACATCATTTTAGGTATGTTGCTCTTGTTAAACCACATCTTGAATATGCTATCTAGTTTTAGCCTCCAAATTACATAAAAGACAAAGATATGTTGGACTGGGCAGAGAGAACAGTTACCAAACTTATATCATCACTCAGAAACAAACCTAATGAAAAAAAAAAAAGTCAAATCACTCTACCTTTTTTTTTTTTCTTTTTGTAACAAAGACTGAGATCATCTCTTTCAAACTGTCAAGATATTGAGTGGCTCTGACACACCAAGAAATGAACTATTTTAAAGTGCCAAATGAGTCCATAACTCAGAACAATGGAATGAAACTGATGCAGGTCCAACACAAATGATCCATAGTTTTTCAAACAAAATTATGGTTGCATGGAGTAAACTACCCACTAATGTTGTACATATAAGGACAATGCATTCATTCAAGAACCAGCTGGACAGTCACTTTGCAGGTATAGGATTCAACTACCAGTAGAGACATCATACTCTAATGGGGGAGTTACCAGAGCCTTCTGTACCTACATGCTCAGTACAAGTCTATCAGTCAAGATTGCTATGTCATCCCAAACTGTTTTATATGTTATCACATTTTCTAGGTTATATTGATTAGCAAAACTTAGGGGTTGATGAGGAAAGACAGGAGAGAGATGCTGCTAAGTACACTCACTACCCCACTCAGCCATTCACTAAACCCATGCAAACCATCATGTACATTCAATAAATGAGGCAATCAGAAGTCGACAGATGACTGATGTTTGTTCAGTAACTGCATCAGAACAATCTTCCATCTAGTTTCATCCCTCCTGTAAATACAGTGGTACCTCGAGTTACAAACTTAATTCGTTCCAGAAAGCTGTTCGAGTGCCGTTACCGAACGAATTTGTTCCCATAAGGAATAATGTAAATTAAATTAATCCGTTTCAGACCCCCAAAAATATACTCACAAAAGCACTTAAAAAAATACACTTACATAATTGTTTGAGTTGGGAGTTGTTCAAAACTCAAGGTACCACTGTACACGTAATTTCTCCAATATGGTATGACTTATTTTACCCCTCTTCTTTTTCCTGTTTTCATGTTAATACACCAGAGTTTTTAATCTAGGTAGAAGTAAAAAGCTCTCAGCAGATAGCCTCAGTGAGTACTTCCAAATCCTTTGGTATCTTGCTTTTTCCATGTACTTTCAGTAACCAAAACACTTCAACAACTCCACATCTTCTCTCTGAATTATACTTGCGTGACCCCCACACTATCTACTAATTTCTGAATTCTCTCCATAATGTTCACATCTCGCATTGCTCTCAAGTGGAACATCAATGCCTCTAGCTTGTTTGCTGCAACATTCAAAGCCTATGCTTCAAACCCACATAAAAGTGAGGTTAATCATAGAATTGATGAGAGAAAAAAGGTGAGTGGTGCGTTGAGGTATATGTGGAGTCAAAAAACGTTATCTATGGAGGCAAAGAAGGGAATGTATGAAAGTATAGCAGTACCAACACTCTTATATGGATGTGAAACTTGGGTTGTGAATGCAGCAGCGAAGAGACGGTTGGAGGCAGTGGAGATGTCCTGTCTAAGGGCAATGTGTGGTGTAAATATTATGCAGAAAATTCGGAGTGTGGAAATTAGGAGAAGGTGTGGAGTTAATAAAAGCATTAGTCAGAGGGCAGAAGAGGGGTTGTTGAGATGGTTTGGTCATTTAGAGAGAATGGATCAAAGTAGAATGACATGGAAAGCATATAAATCTATAGGGGAAGGAAGGTGGGGTAGGGGTTGTCCTCGAAAGGGTTGAGAGAGGGATTAAAGGAGGTTTTGTGGGCAAGGGGCTTGGACTTCCAGCAGGCGTGCATGAGCATGTTCGATAGGAGTGAATGGAGACGAATGGTATTTGGGACCTGACGATCTGTTGGAGTGTGAGCAGGGTAATATTTAGTGAAGGTATTCAGGAAAACCGGTTACTTTTATATAGCCGGACTTGAGTCCTGGAAATGGGAAGTACAATGCATGCACTCTAAAGGAGGGGTTTCAGGATATTAGCAGTTTGGAGGGATATGTTGTGTATCTTTATACGTATATGCTTCTAAACTGTTGTGTTCTGAGCACCTCTGCAAAAACAGTGATTATGTGTGAGTGAGGTGAAAGTGTTGAATGATGATGAAAGTATTTTCTTTTTGGGAAATTTCTTTCTTTTTTTGGGTCACCCTGCCTTGGTGGGAGACGGCCGACTTGTTGAAAAAAAAAAAATTATATTTACTGATACATTCATCTTTTTGCCTCCATTGATAGCCTTTCCACAGATCCTTCAACACACCAACTACCTTTTCTCCCTAATCTTTTATATGGCTCACCATCTCCTCCATAGACCCATCTGCCAACATGTCCAATCACAGATATCTAAATACATCCACTTCCTCCAAACTCTTCCAGTCTGATATTCTATCTTTCATTATCTAGACATTTGTTGCTTTCATCACCTTGCTCATTTTGTATGTTTACTTTTAATTTCCTTTTGCCATACCTTTCAAAATTCATCCACCAGCCTTTTCAAGTTATTTTCAGAATCTCCTAAAAGAACTGTCATTGGCAAAGATTAACTGTGACAACTCCCACTATTTATCAGCTTCTTTCTTAACACATTGGCCATCATCCATCAAGTTAGGGTGATCCAAAAAAATTTAATACAGTCACCATCTACCTACCTGGAGAGTGTTCCAGGAGTCAACACGCCCACAGCCTGGTCCATGACCAGGCTTCATCACTCATTCCAACAGCTGTTTTGCTAAAAGTGTGGAAACATCACAACTCAACTGGCACTCCAAGCTGCAGTATCTCCACCCCTTCTTCTGAGTGCAGGCACTGTACTTCCCACCTCCAAGACTCACGTTCAGCTAACCAGTTTTTCCTGAATCTCTTACCTTGCTTACTCTCCAACAGCTATTGACTGTTACTAAACCTTCCCTCTTCCTATACATAATTTAATTTAGATCCCCCTCCCCTTATCATTTGCCCCTGGCACTCCAAACATACCTAC